ACGCCAATTATCGTATGAGTGCTAACAGTTGCATTTTTTTCTAGGACATAACACCGGAGGGACTTGGGGTAAGGAATACCCCCCCTCCCCCTCCCGTAGTATCTTCAGTATAGGAGAATTTGACCCCCCCTTTTAATATTGCCATATTACCTACATACCATCCAGACACCCCGGTACTACATTTCCCACAAGAGGTTTCGGTGAAGATTTTTCGCAAATGATAGTCCTAACCACTAGAGTTTATAGTGGAAGGATATAGCACCGGGGGGTTTGGGCGTATGGAATACCCTCCAGTAGTACTGTCAGCAAAGAAGACTTGATTTTTTAATTACTCCTAGAACTGTTATGGTAACCTTTGCGAAAAGATAAGAAAAGAACCAAATCTTTACGAAGGGAAAATATATTGAAATCTTTGTAGGCTGGGGGTGCTTCATACCCCCCAGATCCCTCGGTCTCTCGATTGCAATCATCCAGTTGTCACGAAAACCAATATTTTTTCTGGGAAATTATTTTCTTTTTCGCCACCAAAAAAATGCTTTACTGATTTCTGCAAGAAAAACTTGAACAAGGTACGAATAATTGCATACGATTTTCCGAAGGGGAATTTTTCTCGCTACTCAGCTCGCATTTGGAAACATACTGATGGAACTGATCCTTGAACCCGAAGAAATCGGTCGGCGAAGATTTGACATTGCTGTCTCTTTTCGTTCTAAAGTTAGACGATGAATAGACGGACAGACGGACGGAAATTCCTCTAAAAATTCAAATCCGCCACAACAGGGTAGGTATGTACGAAATGGAGAGCCATGAAAGCAATGTTAATGAAAGAAACTTGTGCTTGTTGAAGAGTATCGCGAAAGAGACCTAAAAAACAAGCGTAAATGAGCGCTAAGAAGGTACAAAGAAGAGCATTTAATGGTAAATAAAGAAAGCGAAGGGGAGAATGATAAGTGAAGTCAGCAAGAAAGCAGATGAAAGAGACGCATTAGGAGAGGATATGATGGAAAAGTTTAGTGGATGGAGGGGTACAGAAAAAAGACGTAAAGGAAGCTTTAAAGGGGACGTGAAAGATGGAGACGCAAAAGGAAAAGATGCGAAATGTAAATGAAAAAGGCGTGAGGCAGTTGCAGAGCATGATCATGAGGTGCTCATGAAGAGGACGTGACAAAGTGTCGAAGTAGGAATGAAAACAGATGGCATGGACAACAGATGTACTAAGGAAACTAAATAGAAGCATCGAGAAAGAACAAAGGAGGCGTTAAAAATATATAAAGGAGACATACAAGAAAAAGGCACAAAGGAAGCGTGAAATTAATTAGTTTCCACCTATGTAATGGCGGATCGTTAATTTCGACAGCCATGATTAATTGTTTATTGGTTAATGTCTTTTGTTACTACCAATCCCAGGCGGTTCTAGGGCACCTTAAAACTGTAGATTTCTTAGCAAAGGCCGACTTGATCTTTTTTTTTAATATTACCCCTAGCATTGTCATCGTAACATTTACGAAAAGTATTCTATACCCCTTGGTAACGTTCTCGCCGAGGTTCTCGCATAAGATGAAAGTAAGTTCGATGGCGTTTTCTCGCTAAGTATCGTATGATCATTAATCCTAACGCTGTCATGGTATCCTTTGCGAAGAGATAACCAAATCTTCGTATAGCTGGGTGATATTCCATACCCCCTATACCCCCTGTACTACGTTGTCCCACAAGGATAGAGTGAGTTGGACGGTGATTTTTCGAAAATTATCGTATGAGTGCTTACTATTAGATTTTTTGTAGAAGGAAATAGTGCCGGGAGGTCTGAGTCCCACCAGCCTAGGGGGAAGCAAGTACCATTTTTGGTGTACACCAAAAATTTAAATTCAAATTAATTCACGTTAATTCAAAATAATTCACGCAAAGTCATGCTAATTCACGTTTATTCAAGTTAATTCTCGTAAATTCAGATTAATTCACGTAAATCCAAATTAATTCACGTTAATTCAACCTAATTTACGTTAATTCAAAGTTATTCACGTTATTTCAGTTTAATTCACGCGTTAATTCAAATTGAATCACGTTAATTCACATTAATTCTCGTTAATTTTAATTAATTCACGTTAATTCAAATTAATACATAGGGGTGTACACCAGACAGATTTATTAATCTTAAATTTTCAGAGCGACATTTTCCGTAGGTAAATTTTTCGGAAGCGAATGTTTCCTAGCGAATTTTCCCAGAACAAATTTCCTTGGAGTTTTTGGGAGTCAAATATTCTAATAACCACTTTATTCGGTAGGCAAATTTTTTAGGAAAGAAGTTTTCCAGGAAGCGCCCGAACATTGTTGGGGAGTGAAATTTTCACGCAACGGGAGGAAAATTCGTAGAGGCGACTATTCCCTGTATGAATTTACGGGTTGAATCTTACAGGGAAGCGTTTTAAAAAGGCAATTTTTTCATAGCGAATTTGCCTTGTATATTTTTTTTGGAGGACAAGTCTTTAGGGGTCAAATATTCCAGGGGCGATTTTTAGAGTGCATAAAATTTTCTGGTAACGAATTATTCACGCAAGTATTATAGCGAAGGTAGATTTTTACGAGCCTTTTTTTATGAGAGCGATTTTTTTTAGCGAATTTCCAGATTTCTAAGGGCGATTTTTTTTACAGGAATCGGCGTATTTTCGAGAAACGAATTTTCCAGGGCAAATTTTATCAGGACGAGTGTTTGTGGGTCAAATATTCCAACGGAGATTTTTTCGAGACTAAATTTTCTGGTGGCAAACTTTTCACGCAAGTATTCCAGGGAACAGTTTACCGAAAACGATTTTTTCGTGTTTAAATTTTCAGGACAAGAATTTTTCCATAGCGAATTTTCCCAGGGCGAGACGTGTTTTTAAGCGTCAAGTATTCCAAGGGCGATTTTTTCGGAGCTAAATTTCCAGGACAAAAATTTGTTATACAATCATTCCAGGAAAGAATTTTCCGGTGCGCATATCCCCAGCGCGACTTTTTCAAGCCTATTTTCCGGAAGCGAATTTTTCCATAGGGAATTTTCCCAGAAGAAATTTTCCGGGAACAAGTCTTTGAAGATCAAAGTGATTTTTTTCGAAGCTACATTTTCAGGATGAGGATTATTCTACAGCGAATATCTCCAGTGAGAAACTTTTCCGGGAACAAGCCTTTAGGGGTGAAATATTCCAAGGGCAAATTTTTAAACGCAACCAAATCTCAAGCGATTTTTCTGGGGATTTACAAGGGCAGTTTTTTCAGGAATCGATGATTTTTAGAAACGAATTTTTCTTAAGGGGAACAAGTACCATTTTTGGTGTACACCAAACAATCAAATTCAAATTAATTTACTTTCATTCATCTTAATTCACGTTAATTCATGTTAATGCAAGCTAATTCAAATTAATTCACATTAATTCTCGTTAATTCACGTAAATTCAAATTAATTCACGTTCATTGAAATTAATTCACGTTCATTCCAATTAATTCAAATTAATTCACATTAATTCTAATTAATTCAGGCTAATTCAAATGAATTCACGTTAATTCAAATTAATTCACATTAATTGTAATTAATTCTCGTTAATTCTAATTAATTCAGGCTAATTCAAATTAATTCACGTTAATTCAAATTAAATCAAAAAAGTGTACACCAAAAATTCAAAGTTGTTTCCCCCTAGCCACCAGCAGTACTCTTAGTGAAGGACTTGATCTTGTTTTATTAATTTACCCCTAGCATTGTCATAGTAAGCTTTGGGAAATGATAATCAAATCTTTGTAATGCTAGGGGGTTTTGCGGGGTAAAAAAGCATTTTCAGAAAACAGGTAATGATGAAGCATCACGTTTTCCTGGGAATGGGTGCAAACGAAGGATAAATAAAGGAAGCGGTGATAGTGGAGGATGTTGAAGTAGTTTTGAAGGCTTACAGGAAATTAAAGGGACAAGCTGAGGAGATACGGGGGAGAAAGAGTTGTGAGGCGCAAACGAAAAGGACGCGACAAAGCCGTGAAGCAAGAGTGACTAATGCAAACAGATAAGGAGGAGGAGACTAGATTGAAGCATCCCTAGGAAAACAAAAAAGGCGTCAAGGATATATGAAGGAACCATGAAAGACGTGCCGTGAAGGGGGCATGAAGAAATCATGAGCATACCTGGGGGAAGGGTCAAAAAGTTGAAAAGGAATCGTGAAGTAGAACTGAAAAGTCAAAGAAATCAGGATGAACACGTAAATAACGAATGAATCTTTCAAGAAAACGAGAAAATGAAGTGTATTTTGGTCCTCTTCAGCTTTTATCTGTTCCCGGGGGAATTTCGGGAAGTGTTTTCGGAGTCTCGACTATAAAACAAAATCACCTTTATTGTCGTTCGTGGAAATTTGGAAAATCCATTCATAGTGCTCTTTCTTCTGCAATCCCAAAGAAAATTTTTCTAAAAACACACCACATTCGGCGAGGTTAGGTTTTCTCATTCAGGTCAGCGTCATCTTGAGGCAGGAATTTTGAAAAATATTTACAGAATCTGAGAGAAAATAACCAAACAGCCAAAAGGAGAAGCGAAAATTTTGAAAAAAATTTAATTTTTTGTGCAAATTGAATCAAAATCCTTCTCCGAAGTTCAGGAGTCATTTCGCGTTTCTTATGTTGAGTTCGGAAATGACTTGCGTCATGGATCAACCGATATGAGTTATACTTTTTTTGTTCGTTACGGTCAATCAACTTTTCCAATTGTTAGAAGCAATTAGTTTAATTAGCGTTACGATTCTGGTTTATATTGCATCCGTTTCTTAACGATTGGAAAGTCCATTAACTATTTACTTAATGCATGATTTTTAATTAATACCGCAAAGTTTTCTTATTTTAGAAATTCCCATTGCGGTTTCACGTCAACTCCTTATTAGGGAACGCTTTGATGCGTTTAGTCAAGAAACAAATCACCCTTTGCCCGTGCGATCGATTGGAATACTTTCAAATTGGAAAATTAGAGAAAATCGGATAGGTCAGGAAAAAAAAGTTTTTATTTGACTCTAATAAACGACTAGCTGTTTACTGGTTGGTTGCCTGGAATACTTTAATCCCAGTGGACCCGCTATTTCCGAAATAATCTTCAAAGCGTAATCCAACTGCTCTTTAGTGTGACTTGCAGATAGACAAATACGTACGCGACACTCCAGAAGAGACGTTACAGGATATCCGACCCCAATGCTCGCTATATCTTTTTCTCGCAGAAATCTGACCATAGCTCTAGAAGAGGTATTAAATGTGGCGTTCACTTCCGATCCAGGATACGTACAGCATTTTAGAGTAAAAGCAGCACAAGATCGGTACGACCGGCGAATCTTCGGATCCGTAAGTGATTAGACCTAGTTGGTTTACTCGGCGCCGGAAGTACTTCGAGTTCCTCGCCAAGGAGGCTATCCGCGCCCTGCCTAAATCGGTACCATCCTTCCCCATGAGAATGTTGAGCACGTCCACGATATGCGCTGCAATCGGTGGGGACATGGCAAATGGGTATTTGCACGAGTAGCTTTGCCTCCGCATATGCGAAATTAACTCCTTGCTACCGGCGATGTAACCTCCCGAGGCTCCAAAGCTTTTGGTGTAGGTGCCCATCAATATGTCCACGTCCTTTGGATTACAGCCGAAGTATTCTACTACTCCTCTCCCGTTCTTTCCCATGGCTCCTATACTGTGCGCTTCGTCAAGGTAGAGATACGCCTTGTACTTCTTTTTTAACGCAATGATTTCGGGTAGAGGCGCCGTTGAACCTTCCATACTGTACACTCCTTCGATTAGTATGAAAATCTTCCTCCAAGGCTCGTACGTTTCTCCCAAGGGGTTCCGTCCATAGTATATGGCCTCCTTTAGCAGTCGCTCCAGGTGGAAGACATCTGGATTCGGAATTTTAGAATAGTGTTAGTTTAAGGTGATAGTTACCGTTGTGCTTGAATATTTTAACCGATGCGCCTGAGACTTTAACCCCAACAATCATTGAGATGTGATTCTGCTCGTCACTAAGAACCAGGCAGCCTTCGGACAGGAGCATGGGTAAATTAAGCGAGTTAGTAGCAAATCCCATTCCACACGCCAGAGAGTCTTCGGCCCCCACGAATTCGGCCGTGAGCTTTTCCAGCGTCCTGTGGATTTCAACCGTGCCGTAATCCCGCGCGGTGGCGCCCGTGGACATGCCGTACTTGTGGATCGCGCCGATGGCAAACTCCGTACTCCTCCCGGAGTTCTCGGCGAATCCCAGGTAGTTATACGACGCCAAATTGAGGCACTTCTTCTTTTCGCCCGTGTATCTAAAACTGAAATCTGGCCTAGAGGTTGTCTCACCCGGTCCGCCAAGTACCTCGGTAGTCCTCCGATTTTTTCAAAGACGCGATGCTTCAGGGCGATTTCCGGTCCGGGAACGCCACTCGTCGGGATGCTCCAGCAATCGACCACTCTCCGGATGAGGAAGTCAGTGACGTGCCTTTGCCGTTGGGCGTAAAGCGGAGGATAACCTTCGCGATTTTTTTCACGAACCACTTTGTGCGGAAATAGGAACTCACTTAGGGCACTAATACAGTTCAGAATATAAAATCCCAAACATATCAGGACGGTCGTAACGAATGGGATACTTTCCATTGCGCAATCTACAATTAAAAGTGCATCAGCTACGAACTCAAACTGGGAAATATCTTCAATTACCGAAGGCACGATAGGTACGTCTTAAAAAACTCATTATTGATCCGTAAATTAGTTGTAGTTCTCCTTCTACTTGAAATTTACTGTCACCTTTACGTACACTGTAAGGTACCCGGGGGTCATTACATTTTCGGAACTTTCTTTGAAATCTACGCACAAAACAACTACCTAGATATTTCGTGCTTCTAGAAGCACTTAGGCCCTCTGCCTATATTTCAGATGTTTCCAAAATTTACACATTTTTGAGGGCATTTCAGGCAGGCGGATTTTTCCAGAACCACAAAGAAATATGGGTTCGTTATATTTTTTTGTTTTCAAGTTATTTGTCTATCGAAATTGGGGTTTTGCTGCATTAAAAAATCCGTTAGTCATAACGAACAATTTAGCACAACTTCCGTAAGTCGTACTGTGACACTATGCCCCAAGAGTTAAATATCCTAAAAATGCCACCGGGTTCACCAAGAAAAAGTAAGCAATTTATTTCTAATCTTTTTAGTAAGTTTGAGCGAGAAAGAGATAATGGTGGTCGTATTTTACCAGTCGGCGCAGTAAGAAATTAGGTGAGTGGTTATATTTCACAGAGAATTGCAGCTGCGAACAGTGAATTCACAAATTTTTAAATCGGGCAAAACTCTAGAAAGTCATAGAAAAATAAGGCAATTTAAGACTTTGGTATCATGAAGTTCATTCTGAACTCAAAATTAAAATTAGAAAAAAACGGATTCGAAACCGTTCCCATACAATTTAATTAAGTGTAAAAAAGAGCAAGACACAGACACTACATGTTTCGACTTGACGTCATCTTCAGGTGTTCTCTAAAAGGTGGAGGTAAAAAACTGAAGAGCGCATATTGATTATTGTGTCCAATCACCTGTCTGGTAGCATGAGGTGAGCCTTTTCAATTTTTAAAAGGCTTTTCAACACCCCAAAACCTTTCCTCCACTATTTTGAGGCTTTCTAGCCTCCAACATTGCTTTTTGGGCTTGGCTTCCAAAGCTCGCCATGTCCCGGAAAGAAACTAGAAATCTCTGGAAATGAGTTTCCAGTGAAACATGAAGCTTTCCAGAGCTTTCAACGTTTTCAAGAAGCTCTCAAAGCATTCTTAGAATCTTTCACACATCTTTTTTGAACGTCTCGGCTGTTCATCATGAATCTGTTAAGCTTTAGTTAAGACTTGTGACTCTCTCGAAAGCTGTAAAAAGGCCAAAGTCCTTTGGGTGCTTTCTAAAGCACTATTACTGCTTTGTAGAGCATCTAACAATTTGTCATTGTATCTGAAAGCTTTTCACAAAACATTATAGCAATCCTCAGGTCGTTTCTCCTGAGATTTCTGGGCTCTACAAAGCATACCAGACTTTTCCCAAGATATTCTATTTTCTGTGCAGACTATTTACAGAACTTGCCAGTATTTTCCGAACCTCCTTTGTACAGATTGTACGTCACTGGATCTGGTTTAAAAAATCCTTTGTATTTAACACAGATTTTTGGCATTCTGTGCCTTTTCCAAGGTGCTTAACCGGAGCCTTAGGTCGCGTTTTCGCCTATCTAGAGATTTAAACAGCTATCTCTACTCGTTTTGTGACTACGTAATGGTTAGCACTCATACGTACCTTGCGAAAAAAACGCCATCGAACTTTAAGCTTTTGGAGAACGTAGTACCGATAGTCTGGGAGGTATCGAATACTCTCCAGCATAACGCAGATTTGATTATCTTTTCGCAATGGCTGGTTCAATGGTAGAGCGTTGGGCTATAAATCCGGAGGTTGGGCGTTCGAACCTGGATTGAGGTGAATTTTTCATCTGTGGCAGAGATGGGAATATCCTTAGACCAGTTTCGGGCAGTCTGCCGGCTGCTCCGAATTAGATTTTCCTGTAGTTTTCCTAACTCGTAAGGTAAATACCGGAGTAGTATAGAACAACTTACGACCTTCTGCAGAGGCACCTCTAAAAAGCATTATGCGGGCCACTCTGTAATTAGGCATAAACCTGTTGAGGGTCCAGAACAAGAGAGGGATAATAAATAAATAAATGACACTACTAGGGGTAATTTAAAAAAAAATGATCTATTCCCCTTTTGCTGGGAATACTACTGGGGGGTTTTTTATACCCCAAAGACCTCTAGGTAACATGTCCTTCCACACAAAAATCTAATGGTTAGCACTCATACAATAATTTACAAGAAAACACCATCGTACCTACTTTACTCTTATGGGGGAACATAGTTACGGGAGGTGTGGGGGGGTTTGGAATATCCCCCAGCAGTACGTGAAATTACAGTTTTTTTAAACTGCGTAATATTAAGTGTAAAATTCCCAATTGTTTATGTTTTTTATGGTATTTTATGTAATTTATGTAACTTGCCATTTTTTTTAAAAAATCGTAATTTTACAGTAAAATTATTAGTAATTTATGTTTTTTACGTAATTTACAAATATTTTTGTAAAATTACCTGTCATTTATGTTTTTTTATGTTTTTTTTTAATATTGCATAAACTTGTTTGAATTTTGTGAGTGTTTGAAAACGAAAACACTTGTTAAATTATATATTTTGGTGTATTAAATAAAATACTCAAGCAGCAGTAGCGTTATTTTACAATCCACATCGCTAGCGGTAGGGGTAATATTTAAAAAAAGGAACGGATCTTTTTTGCTGAGAGTACTGCTGAAGAATATTCCTATTCTACGTTGCAAAAAAAAACGCTTCATTTGAATCATGACATTTCCAATTTTAGAGGTTGTCAGATTGTTCAGAAGAAATTACTGGTTGCTCTACCTTGTTTTGCATGCGCCACCCTGTACTTCTGGCTAAAGTTTAAGCTATAAATTTATTTTGTTGTCTTTTGTTTATTACATACCAAGTGATTACATGAATGCCGTGCACTATTTGCTAAATTAATGTAATTGTACAGGGCAACGAAGGTTTTGTAATTTATAACTAATTACAGTCATATATTGCACTTTAATAATTGTTCTGACCGCACGTTCATATAATTAATTACGCATAAGTACAGCACGATTACATTGTATTTATGCTACGTAAATAAGTTTTCTTCCCAAAGTGCAGTCATTGCTGTAGGTAAATTGGTAACTACTGGTTCTCTTTGTTTATTGCAACCCTCAATAAAAGTTCCTTCAGAAGCAAGCTTGATTCACTTTGCAGATCTAGGTACTTCTATTTATGTTAAATACAGTATGTTCGTTTGTAGAGGTATTCAAAAGGCATGCCTCGAGATTTTTTAATCTTCATATCGTTGAAAAACTTCTTTTCTCTGATTTGAATTTCGCATCCATCGGGAATTTTTATAAGGACTGGATCTTTGATGACTAAATTGTGGTCGGACTCGCATTTTGCTGTTAATTCTTCCGGTTTTTGTGTGAAGATTAGGACCATATCCCGGGTTACCTGTTCTGTGATAGGCTCTTGAAAGTGGACCTCTAGGGTTGGACAGTTTTGGAGTTGGATCCCATCTAGTATTTTGTTTAGGCAATCGTCCTGATGATAGAATTCTTCAATGCAGTAATAATGGTCTTCAATTGCGGAACAAGTTTCGGTTGGGAACAGTTTCCTTGATTGCGCTTGCGCCATGTAAGGGTATTTTGGGACGAATATGGTTTGGTTCTGGATGATTGGGTAATTGTGATAAAAAGAATAGGTTTCTGATCTTAGTATCGGTACATGAATAGCAAATATTATTTTTGTATCTGAAAAGCTAACCTGTGTGCCCAAAAATTGATAATATCATAAACTATTTTTGAATTTCGGTATTTCCGATTGATCGTAAAGTGTACTCAAGTAAGTTAACATTTCTTTTAATTCAAGACCTGATAAAATGCTATTATGTAGCGCGTTAACTTTTGAAAATGTGATGGCGTCTTCCAAATTATCTAGAAACATAATTAAATGTTGACAATCGAAATTAAGGTGCAGTAAAATGCTTTGGACTCTAAGATATTCTTGTAGATTATTTATGGTTTTTTCCACCGTAGATTGGAGCTGTTTCAAGCCAAGCTGAAATATTTCTTGGTTTTTATTGAAGGAGGTGATAATCTTATTATAGTTATCGATTACGCCTTTTGAAAGTGAGATTTGCAATTTCATTTCATCTGCTAATTTATTTTGATTTTGCGTTAAAGTAGCGATTGCATGGTCATAGCGTTCGCCATCGTCGCTATCCAAAGTACCGAAAAGCCATCTACTTACCTTTCCGCCTGCGTTTATTAAACCTTTTCTAGTTCGAAGACGTGGATGTAAATTTTGAAATTTATTCGAGGTTATTTTTATGAGATATTCAGTTCTAGAAAGCAAATTTTCTGATAGTCCGCGATAACTTATATAACTAGTTGCATTAGACTTACTTAGATTTTCCTTAACTATACTGAAGTAACTTCCTATATTTTCTATTTGTGTAACTAAGTGTTCTAAATCTACATAATGTAAAAATGTATGTTTACTATAAACTAGCCTAGCTTTACCTAATTGAAGGGGTAGAATAGGGTTGGTTAGATAGGTAATTTGAATGTCGTTTTGGTCAGTCAGATTGGTTTGAAGTACCAGGAATAGCAGTATCGGCGCTATCTGCTCCATTCGCATCCTGTAAATGTTGTTTACTATCAGATATGGGTTTCCTAGCGCTACTTTTATGATATGTTGTCTTATTGGTTATTAACTTATTTCCAGTTTCTCCTATTAACTGGACCCTTTTGAATTTTGGTAAATTTTGCCTTTGCTTTAAACAACGATAAGCTTCAACTATTGATGAATGAAATCTTTCTACGGGGGAATTTGAGTTACTATTCTTTGGGGTGGTAAAATGCAATTCAATTTTGTATAACTTACAGAAATCTTCTAGGTCTTTATTTTTAAACTCTGTGCCTTGATCTGTCGTAATTTTGAAAGGTAGACCGTGATGCATTATAAAGTTAAATAGGTTCTCCGCACTACTTCGGTTCCTGTTACACTTTTGAGGGGGTATGCTTGTCCATATCTCGAAAATGAATCGATAATTGTGACATATGCGTTGTAATCCATCCGAAATGTATCTAAGTGTACATGTTCAAAA